CAATAAAGATATAAAATAGAAAACCTAATTGCTTCCCACTCAAACCTCATGCTGATTCTCTACCAGAGTCAGAACAGTATTCTGTTGCCTGAACCTGCAAAAATTGGAATTCCTTCCAACTGCTGTCAGTTATTCTGGTAGGTTGCATCATCTCCTATGAAGTTTCAAAAAATGATTCCTCAAAACACCACACATCAATTATTTAGCAATCAGCTCTTTCTCCATCTGTTGGTATAATTTTTAGGCTGTGTTACTGTTTTGCGTTTTTGGAGGATTCACGAAACCAGTTATCAAGATACTGATTACTAAACACCGCATTTCTCTACTTAGCTTATTTGACTATTTTGTTTCATCACAAATGTATAGCATTAAGAAGTAGAAAAGCTGTGGAGGTAAGCTTCGTTCTTTAGGACAGAATGGGCTGAGTGATGGTTACATAAATGGTCTGACAGGGAGAGTCCAGGAGTTCAGCGATTGCAAATACTCACTGTAGAAGACAGTGACTTCAGCTGACATTATACCAGTTAGCTGAGGGCTGGAGTGCAGTATCTTAATCATGGTTACTATTATTTGTACCTCATACTATGATCTGGAAAATCCTTCCAATGTGAACAAGAAGTGGCCGGGACAGAGTGGTGGTAAAGGGGCTCTGAAGCGGCCTGAAAGGGCTAGAATGTCAGCTTGGTCACTCAGCTACCCTGCAACTCAGGACAAGCGGTTTTAGTCTCTCTCAGTTGCATATTTCTCTTCTCTAAAATGATGCTAGCAGTAACATCTGCCTTAGGGATATGGACAGAATTAAAGGACTGAATACACAGATTGCACTTACAATGGCACTAAGCAGCCAGTAAGTTCAAGGAAGATTATATGCTGTTATACATTGAAAGTACTTTAGAGAAGAAAGCACTGAACCTGTAACTCAAGGTGTTTGACTCCAAGTTTGGTGCTCTTTATGAAGACATGGCTGGTGCTGCTACTGTTTTTTCTGTGGGAGTCATCAAGAGCTCTGGGACATGGGAACCATGACCTCATACTGCCGTTCCACAGTTGTAAATCTTAAAGAATGTCAATGACATCTTATTACCTTTTCTTTCACATATTGATTCTTCTACATGGATTTCTTTAAAGGACAACTGTTTTTTAATGACTTGGTTTAGTCTATGGTATATCGCTTCTAGCCTGTTACTTCAAACCTTTATGTAATTTTTAAAAAGTTGACAATATTTAGCTGGGCAGTTGTTTTCATTCTTCAATTATTGCTAGATGTTGGCACTTTGTGCTAGGTACTTCTTTTTTTTTTTTTTTCTTTTCTTTTCAGTACCGAGGATTGAACCAAGGCTTAGTGCATGCTAGGCAAGTGCTCCATCACTGAGCTATATCCCAGCCCATTTTTATTTTGATCTATCTGTTTTTAGGAGTATGTTTGCACTATCTTTTTTTTTGGGGGGGGGGTCTTTTTGGGACAGGGTCTCACTGTGCAGTTCAGGCTGGCCTTGAGCTTGCTTTGTAGCCCAGGCTGGCCTCGAACTCACAATGATCCTACTGCCTCAGCCTCCCGAGTGCTGGGATTACAGGCGTGCGCCACCACGCCAGGCCCATTTTTATTTTGACACAAAGTCTAAGTTGCCCAGGGTGACTTCAAACTTGTGATCCTCTTACCTCAGCCTCCTGAGTAGCTGAGATTATAGCTACACACCACCAAGCCCAGAAGAATTTTGTCTCTGATAAAACACAAAAACACCACTGTGACTTGCGAGGACTTTTTATGTCATGTGACCTAAAGGTGCAACAATGACAGGCACTAACTCCAATGTTTATGCTGAATTTCTCTTATGCAGAAAGCATAAAATGTACAAGGTGGCACACTTAATGCTTTTAATAGGTGTCCTTTACTGCAAAATCCTCATTTTTTATTTTCCTTTCTGCTAGTTGAAATTGCAGGCATCCAATGGGAAGCTTGAATGTAATTGTGTACTACAAAGGAAACCCCTTAACAGTTACTGAAAGAAGTCCACATCTCAGCCGTTTGTCAAAAGTCTGGCATAAACCTCCCAAGGCCTATTTCACTGTCAGTTGAGATTCCTCCTTTTAACTTTAAAAATTTTTTTTTAATCCCTTTTGACTTTTCACATCACTTTGTTTATACTACTTTTATGGCAAGTAGTATAATTATTTCTTATAAACATGTGTTATCTTCTTTAAAATATATCTAGAACTCAACTGCTTCTATGTAACCATCTTCACAGCTACCACTCTGGTCCAATCCACTGAGCTGCAGGCTGAATTACTACAATATTCTAAATGGTCTTGCTGTGTTCACCTTTAACCCTCCAACCCCTACAGCAGGCTATGTTCAACACAGCAGTTAGCTGTGTGTTTCACCCACAACCAAAGCCCAAGTCCTTACAATGGCCTATAAAGGCCTATATGACCTGCTCCCTACCCACTTCAGTTCCTCTTTCTTCCTTCACTTCCTCCTGATGTTCCATGAACCAAGGAGCATGCTCCTGCATCACAGCCTTGCATTTGCTGTGCTTCCTGCCTGGAAAACTCCTCTGCTGGGTGTCTATATGACTCACTTCCTTTCCCCAATTCTCTGCTAAAATCTCATCTTATTAAATAAGAGGCCTTCTCTTACCACCCTACACATATAAGAAAGCCAAGTCTCTTCCCTCTCTCCATTTCCTTTACATTGTGTGTCAGTTTTCTGTCTCTGTGACTGAATACCTGAGATAAACTAAAAGGAGGAAATGTTTCTTTTGGCTCAGGGTTTCAGGGGTCTCAGTCCATGGTATCTTAGCCCCATTGCTTCTGGGCCTGTGGTGAGGCAGTGTACCATGGCAGAGGAAAACCATTCACCTCATGGTAGCCAGGAAGCAGAAAGAAAGGAAAGGGCCAGAGTCCTAACACACTCTTCAAAGCTAACCCCCAAAAACCTGCTTTCTCCCACTAGGAGAGTTCCCACCACCTTCCATGACTCCACAGGTCAGAGACCAGGCCTTCTACACATGAGCTTCTGGGAGACATTTAAGATCCAAGCCATAACATTGCTTTAGTTTTTCCTATGGGACTCATCACCACTTGCTTACTACTCAATTTGATTGTCTGTTTTCTCTTTCTTTAATAAAACGCAAGCTCCATGAAGGCAGGAATATAATCTGTTTACTCTGTGTCCACAACACCTATAACAGTTTCTGGAAATCAATCAATATTAGACAAATGAATATGGGGCTGG